TCCACAATCGCCAAAATATTATGATATAATATTTTTGCACTCAACAATTTAGTTATCATGTCTCCCACTGGTAAATTGAACATCATACATGCTTGTGTGAGTCTCTTGTTATTGTGGGATATATTTAGGAAGTGGTAAAATTAAAAAAGGTCATTTAAAAGCTAAGATCAAGTCTTATGTTACATTAATGTAATAAGAATACGTCTAGAGAGGCTTGAAATATAGAAACAAGTATCTTCTAGCTTCCTCTATTGTCAGGCATAGCTTCAACCAACAAGGTTACATTATTGATATCTAACTTACATAAAATACAGATAAGTAGATGTATTTTCCCTCACATAGTTCAAATATCTATCATCTAATGGAAAAGACATAATTTCCATATTTTATTTGCATTTCCTGACTCAGTTTAGGTTATGGAGCTCCATTGGTATATATATCTATAGGCCTTTTTCTTGGCAAATCATCATTCCCATTTAGGCACCATCTTTGCAGTCCAAGCACCAACAGTAGTAATCGGACCTTGACATCTCCAGCATTTCATCTGGGGTCATCCTCTCCAGCTCACTTTGCCTCCATGACGCGAAATTGTTTCGGTTTTGTGGGTCAGTAGCGAGCAGATAGTTCTCCATTTTATGAACTTGGGATTTCATCCTTTTGTAAAGCCTCAACGAGGCGACACAGTCCTCCTAAGGATCTTGTATACCAGTTTGAATATCATACCTGGTATTCAAAAGTTTCATTACTCTCAGTATTAACCCTAAGGAACAAATTTGTACATGAAATATCATTATTTATTACCCTAGGTATGCNATTGTTCAAATTTACCACCACTAGGGTAAATTTCAGGCTCTTCCCGGTCCCGGATGATACCCCAATGTGACTAGCAATTAAGCTTGCTATTATTGTCTTCTTTTTGTATTTTTATATCTGAAGTGAGGCTATGAATTGTCACACAGACTGTTCCAGGTTATGATGTAGCTGGTGTGGTGGTCAAGGTGGGAAGCCAAGTGAAACATCTCAAGGAAGGAGACGAAGTGTATGGGGATATAAATGAGGAAGCTTTGAACAACCCCAAACAGTTTGGTTCTCTGGCTGAGTACACTGCCGTTGAAGAGAAGCTATTGGCTCTAAAACCTAAGAATCTTAGTTTCGCTGAAGCCGCTAGCCTTGCACTTGCCATTGAGACTGCTAATGAGGGCCTCAAACGCGCCGGACTTTCAACTGGTAAATCTATCCTTGTTTTAGGTGGTGCTGGTGGAGTTGGAACTCTGGTAATTCAGGTATACCTTCCCTATTCTGTTCTGGCTTTAGATACAACTTGAAGTTGAAGTTGTATATATATGGTATGAGGACAACAACGAACTATAAGTTTTAATTTACACCTCATTCCTGTTACCACTTGAATTACCCTTNTCTGGCTTTAGATACAACTTGAAGTTGAAGTTGTATATATATGGTATGAGGACAACAATGAACTATAAGTTTTAATTTACACCTCATTCCTGTTACCGCTTGAATTACCCTTAGGGTTAAAATTGTGGATTACGGACTTACAAATGTATGTGTTCCTTTTATTTTGTATGGGACAGCTAGCAAAACATGTATTTGGTGCATCAAAAATTGCAGCTACTTCCAGCTCTGGAAAATTGGAGTTGTTGAAGAGTTTGGGAGCTGATTTGGCCATTGATTACAATAAGGAGAACTTTGGAGATCTGCCAGACAAATTTGATGTGGTATATGATGCCGTTGGTAAAATTCTGAACTTCTTGTCAAGTTCATGCTTGTAGTGGTATGTCAATTAATTGCAAGTTCATACATGTAGTCAAATGCTATTAACATTTTACCGGTAGAGCGCACAGAAATTTTATGCATTAAGAGTATGCCTGGATTCTCTGATCGAGGGTGTTTCTCAGGCTGATACTTCTCTAATTAAGAATGTGACAATAAGAAAACCAAATACTTGCAGGGCAGTGCGATAAGGCGGTGAAGGCAGTGAAAGAAGGCGGAAGCGTGGTGGCAATAATCGGTGCAGTCACTCCACCTGCTTTCATATTTGTAGTTACATCAAATGGATCTGTCTTAGAGAAACTAAACCCTTTCTTGGAGAGTGGCAAGGTGAAGGCAGTGATAGACCCTAAAGGCCCATTCCCATTCTATCAGACCGTTGAAGCATTTTCTCATCTCGAAACTGGCAGAGCTATTGGTAAAGTGGTGATATATCCAGTCCCCTGAGAGAAGAGAAGGGGCCGGAGTCACTTAGTTATTAAGCTGTAGTGCTCCTTTTACTTGTATTACAAGGCCAAGATGTTGTGTTAAAAAGTATCCCTTATTTATGTGACCCTATTCCTACCAGTTAACAGTATGGAGATATATATCTAAGACAGTTTTTGATGTGTAGCCACGCATGGCTACAGGCCCTACCTTCTCTCTCCCAAGTATAATTTGTAGACAATAATTTTAAAAGAAGAGGTTAAATTACACTTTCTAGCTGATTCGGACTATGATCAAGCTCGAGAAATGAGATATTTATTTCCTATTAATTATTTAAAACAATTTTTATTCAATCTTATGACTTGGTAATGATTAATAAAATGTTAAACCTGACATATCTAGTTAAGTACAAGCAATTTCGTCCACAATCGCCAAAATATTATGATATAATATTTTTGCACTCAACAATTTAGTTATCATGTCTNTAGAGCGTATCTTCCATACAGGTTCCCCGTTGCATAAAAAATCTTGAATCTTCCTCTGGACTTGTCTTAATGGCATTGCATCCCTTAAGAATTCTGGACGTATTCCAGTCATATCGTACCTGAGTAAAATTTTCAAAATAAATGCAGNGTGTGAGTCTCTTGTTATTGTGGGATATATTTAGGAAGTGGTAAAATTAAAAAAGGTCATTTAAAAGCTAAGATCAAGTCTTATGTTACATTAATGTAATAAGAATACGTCTAGAGAGGCTTGAAATATAGAAACAAGTATCTTCTAGCTTCCTCTATTGTCAGGCATAGCTTCAACCAACAAGGTTACATTATTGATATCTAACTTACATAAAATACAGATAAGTAGATGTATTTTCCCTCACATAGTTCAAATAACTATCATCTAATGGAAAAAACATAATTTCCATATTTTATTTGCATTTCCTGACTCAGTTTAGGTTATGGAGCTCCATTGGTATATATATCTATAGGCCTTTTTCTTGGCAAATCATCATTCCCATTTAGGCACCATCTTTGCAGTCCAAGCACCAACAGTAGTAATCGGACCTTGAGATCTCCAGCATTTCATCTGGGGTCATCCTCTCCAGCTCACTTTGCCTCCATGACGCGAAATTGTTTCGGTTTTGTGGGTCAGTAGCGAGCGGATAGTTCTCCATTTTATGAACTTGGGATTTCATCCTTGTGTAAAGCCTCAATGTGGCGACGCAGTCCTCGTAAGGATCTTGTATACCAGTTTGAATATCATACCTGATATTCGAAAGCTTCATTACTCTCGGTATTAACCCTAAGGAACAAATATGTACATAAAATATTATTTATTACCCTAGGTATGATTTTGTCAGGTACTTGAGGGAGTTGCTGAGCTTGCTTGTTTTCATTAATGGAGGATATTTTGCTGTGTCCCTGCAGCCAAATTCATTGGATATGAACTTGAAAATTTAATGAACTTTTAAGTTTTAAGGTCGAAGTCCTAATGAAGTTGGGTTGTTGATAAATGGAAAGCTTCGCTCACACAGAAACTTGCCTGATCATTACGGTAGGGTACTCCATTTCTAGGCATTTAAGGTCATGATCCAGACCATGACCTACAAGGATCCTTGCTGTTCCACCTCTAGAGCGTATCTTCCATACAGTTTCCCCGTTGCATAAAAAATCTTGAATCTTCCTCTGGACTTGTCTTAATGGCATTGCATCCCTTAAGAATTCTGGGCGTATTCCAGTCATATCGTACCTGAGTAAAATATTCAAGATAAATGCAATAAAGTATGACAATTAATTAGGAGAAATCGTTACAACTATGATTCTTTAGGACTCATAGTTATAGAATAAAACTCGGATGCACACAATCATCAACAAACCACATGCATAGATTAAACTCAGATATGTAAAACTTGGAAAATTCGATTTATGACGTGTTTACTCCTCATTTGGACCATTAAACTAACTCATACAGACTGACTTAAATCTTTATATCAATGTATGAGTACCTGTAATTGGTGACTGAAAGGGGAGGTTTGACATATGTATGGAAGATCATGTTTTCATATTCATCGGTGAGGCAAACCCTTGCACAAAGATCAAGGGAGCCATCACTGCCACCGCCAACCATTTTGCAAGCAAGTGCAACTACTTTTGCCCTATTATTATCAATCCTCAAGTCATCTTGAATTCCTAAGTTGGCCATGCGATAAAGAGCTCCCTGCAAATTGAAGAAAAATCACATTAGGTTAAGCTAAGCTCGATATAACAGAAATGTAAAGTACAGTAACATTCTCCATTGTCTCTCATAACTCCAATACTAGTCATATGGTTTTGATAATACACCAACACCCACTGTCAAGGTTTGCCCCCGATAGGATTGATGGAAACGGGTGTTATTTTTTCCCAATTATTCTTATAAATTATTCCCATTGTACATTAATTACTTGGACTACCTCAACTCCAACATCCATATCAGCAATCTTGTACATATACCTTCTATAGAGAAAATTTTAACACACTATATGACAGTGTCATGTATAGCTCATAAATTACATTTGTGACAGTATCTCATTGGGTGTGCCATGTGGTGTGTGAAACTCATTGAAATCTCGCCTTATCTCTCGCTTAAATAATTTTATTCTATTCTAGTGCACTCATATTATTTGTTGGCCTAATTTGGTAACGTAATTCCCTGTTGTTCTTCGATTGGCCGTTGATCCTAACCAAGTGGAACACAATTAATTCAAAAAAAATGATTAATTAAATTATATGAACAAAAATTTATGGACCTTTCTTTTCTCCTATGATNCATCACTGCCACCGCCAACCATTTTGCAAGCAAGTGCAACTACTTTTGCCCTATTATCCTCAAGTCATCTTGAATGCCTAAGTTGGCCATGCGATAAAGAGCTCCCTGCAAATTAAAGAAAAATCACATTAGGTTAAGTTAAACTCGATATAATAGAAATGTAAATTACAGTAACATCCTCCATGGTCTCTCATAACTCCAAGACTTGTCATATGGTTTTGATATTACACTAACACCCACTGTCAAGGCTTGCCCCCGATAGGATTGATGGAACGGTGTTATTTTTTCCCAAGTTTTCTAATAAATTATTCCCCTTGTACCTTAATTATTTCCAACTGTCAAGGTTTGCTCCCAAGGTGTTGGTTGTAGTTATCATCTGTTTAAAAAAAACCTCCTACATCCATATCAGCACTCTTGTCTATATTCTAGTGCACTGATATTATTTGTTGACCTAATTTGATAACGTAATTCACTGTTGTTCTTCAATTGGTTGTTGATCCTAACCAAGTAGACCACAATTAATTCAAAAAAAATGATTAATTAAATTATATGAATATAAATTTATGGACTTTTCTTTTCTCCTATGATATGTAGAATAAGAATTCTTCTTTTTAATGAATTCTAAAACTAATACTTTTTTTTTGTTTGAAAAAAGAATAAAGGCATGATACAAAATTTTAACCTTCTTTTAGTATGTTTTCCCATTTTAAGGGTGGGGAGTTTTACTTTTCCCATCGAACTATTTGTTACATTTCTAATAACAAATAAAAAAGGTTTTTCTTTTTCTCTCTATATCATATCTATTTTTTTTTTAATTTCTTCTTGTTCTTTCAAAGTAATAGAATGGGCCTTTTTCTAGAACGTCAAATGAAGGCAATGATTCTTAACGCACCCTCAGAAATACACACAAAAAAAAAAGAGGAGTGTTGTGTAAAACTTGAAATTATAAGGGTGTTTCTTGAAAATCATTAGAAACCACAGGAGTTGCTAATTAATGTGATTTCCCTTATTAGAAGTTGTTTGGAACTGTACAGTGCGTGATAGTTGGCATGTCTCTCGGTGAACCCTTAGAGCATTTCTGCTACTAAGGATGGCCAAGCAGAGATCGCATCCTTTGTGTTTGAATATCTTGTCACATTCTGCCTTTGGCAAAGGACCTGGAGATAGTAACAGAAAAATGTTAGTCTGAGAGCCAAAAAAAGAAAAAAGGCCATCGTTCTCATTAGGGTATTGAAATTAACCTATCAGATGCTCCCTCAGAGACTCAAACGATCGACAATGTTTTCTGCAGATTCCACACATTGGCTCGTGAACTGAGTGGTATGAGATCCTCATGTGCTCCACTAGATGCTCCATTTTGTTATACTGTTTGTAACACGCAGCACACTTGTTCCTGACCATAGAAAACATTAGTGTGACTAAAAATTCATGTATCATTTCATCCCTACTTTTATCATTCATGCATGAGAGAGAGAGAGAGAGAGAGAGGGGTACTACCTTAGTGTATCTGAAGACTCCATTCTGTTGTCAAAAGAAACAAGACTAAACTCACAGATGATTTCAGATGATTTTTGACCCAAACATAAATTATCCGACACAATTGAAAGTCCTATTTTATCCAAAAAAAAAAAAATTTGATAGTCCTAGATATATGTGCATAAGGGTCAGCATAGAGCTCCCCGGCCCATGGGCAACTCGGTCTGCCATGTGACAATGGCCATGAATTTTGGGATCCCGATGGGTTTGGCCCAGCACTAATTGTAAGGAAAATAATTCAATTATATATGTTTATTTTTCTATTTTATCTATATTTTACAGGTGCCAACTAGATGGGATGTCCTCAAGTGATGCAGACTACCCATCAATTATGTAATCTTCTAATTAAGGAATATTTGTTAATTTCAACTAATAAAATCTTTTTTATGTCCATTTTTAACTATCCAATTTTTTTTAAAAAAAAAATCAAATGAGTTTACTCGTTGGGCAGGCCATGGACTAAGGATTTCTGGTCCGAGCCCAAAAATGACGGGTAGAGCTTGATACGCCTGTCCGGCCCAGCTAATTGCCTTGGCATATAGTTATAGACATATGTAGGGGTAGTTTTTTTTTTTTTTTTGCCGGTTAAAAAAAGGGGCAGGGGCAAGAAAAAGTGTCCAACGACCACCCTGATAGGTCCTCACCGGTGGGATCATAAGACCCTGACCGCACATGAAACACTTTTCAGGAATAGACTTGGTTAGGTTAACATAGCGACCAACCACCAAGTCCCAATAGAAACTCTAAGACTCAAACTCCTAACCTCAAGTGAGGAGTAAGGCCGACACTCCACTAGACCACTCTCCTTTGTGGTACGTAGGGGTAATTTAATCGTGTTCCCTTAAACAATTGAGTGGGCTAACCATGTTTTGCAAAAGTGGTGAACCACAATGTATCTGAGTTTATGTCAATCTTAAAATAACTTACAGGATTTGTGGCACATATGAATTGATTTGATGGTTGTTCTGGCATTAAATTGCATGTTGTTCATGTCATAAACTGCCCAGCTAGTGGATATAAGGACATGATACCCAATACGGAGCATTTACGAGGAAAGTGTCAAATGTTGTCATAAATTTAAATTTGAAGATTTATGATAATTTGACATGTAACATTTGATATTTTTACATTACAGTTCAATCGATATCAAATATTATATGTCAAACTTATGTCATGCTTGACTAGGAAGTTTAGATATGATAAGGTTTAACACAAGAGATGAGATATTTGATAATATGTCTAATTTGGCAATATACTAAAATTTGGCAAATGCAAACACAGTCCGCATTTGACATAGCACAGTCCGCATTTGACATAGCTGTTAGAATTGTCCGGTTGGATTTGACAACTCGATTGGAGTTGCTATTATTGTCTTCTTTTGTATTTATATCTGAAGTGAGGCTATGAATTGCCACACAAACTGTTCCAGGTTATGATGTTGCTGGTGTGGTGGTCAAGGTGGGAAGCCTAGTGAAACATCTCAAGGAAGGAGACGAAGTCTATGGGGATATAAATAAGGAAGCTTACAACCCCAAACAGTTTGGTTCTCTGGCTGAGTACACTGCCGTTGAAGAGAAGCTATTGGCTATAAAAACTAAGAATCTTAGTTTTGCTGAAGCCGCTAGCCTTCCACTTGCCATTGAGACAGCTTATGAGGGCCTCGAACGCGCCGGATTTTTGCCTGGTAAATCTATCCTTGTTTTAGGTGGTGCTGGTGGAGTTGGAACTCTGGTAATTCAGGTATACCTTCCTTATTCTGTTCTGGCTTTAGATACCACCTAAAGTTGAAGTTGTATATATATGGTATGAGGACAATAACGAAGTATAAGTTTTAATTTACAGCTCGTCCGTCCTTGTTACCACTTGAGCTATTAGTGGAATTAAAATTGTGGATTCTGGAACTTACAAATCTATGTATTTCTTTTATTTTTACAGCTAGCAAAACATGTATTTGGTGCATCAAAAATTGCAGCTACNTTAGGGTTAAAATTGTGGATTACGGACTTACAAATGTATGTGTTCCTTTTATTTTGTATGGGACAGCTAGCAAAACATGTATTTGGTGCATCAAAAATTGCAGCTACTTCCAGCTCTGGAAAATTGGAGTTGTTGAAGAGTTTGGGAGCTGATTTGGCCATTGATTACAATAAGGAGAACTTTGGAGATCTGCCAGACAAATTTGATGTGGTATATGATGCCGTTGGTAAAATTCTGAACTTCTTGTCAAGTTCATGCTTGTAGTGGTATGTCAATTAATTGCAAGTTCATACATGTAGTCAAATGCTATTAACATTTTACCGGTAGAGAGCACAGAAATTTTATGCATTAAGAGTATGCCTGGTTTCTCTGATCGAGGGTGTTTCTCAGGCTGATACTTCTCTAATTTAGAATGTGACAATAAAAAAATCAAATACTTGCAGGGCAGTGCGATAAGGCGGTGAAGGCAGTGAAAGAAGGCGGAAGCGTGGTGGCAATAATCGGTGCAGTCACTCCACCTGCTTTCATATTTGTAGTTACATCAAATGGATCTGTCTTAGAGAAACTAAACCCTTTCTTGGAGAGTGGCAAGGTGAAGGCAGTGATAGACCCTAAAGGCCCATTCCCATTCTCTCAGACCGTTGAAGCATTTTCTCATCTCGAAACTGGCAGAGCTATTGGTAAGGTGGTGATATATCCAGTCCCNTGATGCCGTTGGTAAAATTCTGAACTTCTTGTCAAGTTCATGCTTGTAGTTGTATGTCGATTAATTGCAACTTCATACATGTAGTCAAATGCCATTAACATTTTACCTGTAGAGAGCACAGAAGTTTTATGCATTAAGAGTATGCCTCGTTTCTCTGATCGAGGGTGTTTCTCAGGCTGATACTTCTCTCAGAATGTGACAATAAGAAAAGCAAATACTTGCAGGGCAGTGCGATAAGGCGGTGAAGGCAGTGAAAGAAGGCGGAAGCGTGGTGGCAATAATCGGTGCAGTCACTCCACCTGCTTTCATATTTGTAGTTACATCAAATGGATCTGTCTTAGAGAAACTAAACCCTTTCTTGGAGAGTGGCAAGGTGAAGGCAGTGATAGACCCTAAAGGCCCATTCCCATTCTCTCAGACCATTGAAGCATTTTCTCATCTCGAAACTGGCAGAGCTATTGGTAAGGTGGTGATATATCCAGTCCCATGAGAGAAGAGAAGGGACCGGAGTCACTTAGTTATTAAGCAGTAGTGCTCCTTTTATTTGTATTACAAGGCCAAGATGTTGTGTTAAAAAGTATCCCTTATTTATGTGACCCTATTCCTACCGGTTAAAAGACACTAGTGTGAGACAATATGGAGATATATATCTAAGTCAGTTTTTGATGTGTAGCCACACATGGCTGCAGGCGTAGACAATAATTTTAAAAGAAGAGGTTAAATTACACTTTCTAGCTGATTCAGACTATGATCTGGCTCAAGAAATGAGATATTTATTTCCTATTAATTATTTAAAACAATTTTTATTCAATCTTATGACTTGGTAATGATTAATAAAATGTTAAACCTGACATATATAGTTAATTACAAGCAATTTCATCCACAATAGCCAAAATATTATGATATAATATTTTTGCACTCAACAATTAGTTATCATGCCCCCCACTGGTAAATTGAACATCATACATGCTTGTGTGAGTCTCTTGTTATTGTGGGATATATTTAGGAAGTGGTAAAATTAAAAAAGGTCATTTAAAAGCTAAGATCAAGTCTTATGTTACATTAATGTAATAAGAATATGTCTAGAGAGGCGTGAAATATAGAAACAAGTATCTTCTAGCTTCCTCTATTGTCAGGCATAGCTTCAACCACCAAGGTTACATTATTGATATCAAGTAGATGTATTTTCCCTCACATAGTTCAAATAACTATCATCTAATGGAAAAGACATAATTTCCATATTTAATTTGCATTTCCTGACTCAGTTTAGGTTATGGAGCTCCATTGGTATATATATCTATAGGCCTTTTTCTTGGCAAATCATCCTTCCCATTTAGGCGCCATCTTTGCAGTCCAAGCACCAATAGTAATCGGACCTTGACATCTCCAGCATTTCATCTGGGGTCATCCTCTCCAGCTCACTTTGCCTCCATGACGCGAAATTGTTTCGGTTTTGTGGGTCAGTAGCGAGCGGATAGTTCTCCATTTTATGAACTTGGGATTTCATCCTTTTGTAAAGCCTCAACGAGGCGACACAGTCCTCCTAAGGATCTTGTATACCAGTTTGAATATCATACCTGGTANTCCCACTGGTAAATTGAACATCATACATGCTTGTGTGAGTCTCTTGTTATTGTGGGATATATTTAGGAAGTGGTAAAATTAAAAAAGGTCATTTAAAAGCTAAGATCAAGTCTTATGTTACATTAATGTAATAAGAATACGTCTAGAGAGGCTTGAAATATAGAAACAAGTATCTTCTAGCTTCCTCTATTGTCAGGCATAGCTTCAACCAACAAGGTTACATTATTGATATCTAACTTACATAAAATACAGATAAGTAGATGTATTTTCCCTCACATAGTTCAAATAACTATCATCTAATGGAAAAAACATAATTTCCATATTTTATTTGCATTTCCTGACTCAGTTTAGGTTATGGAGCTCCATTGGTATATATATCTATAGGCCTTTTTCTTGGCAAATCATCATTCCCATTTAGGCACCATCTTTGCAGTCCAAGCACCAACAGTAGTAATCGGACCTTGAGATCTCCAGCATTTCATCTGGGGTCATCCTCTCCAGCTCACTTTGCCTCCATGACGCGAAATTGTTTCGGTTTTGTGGGTCAGTAGCGAGCGGATAGTTCTCCATTTTATGAACTTGGGATTTCATCCTTGTGTAAAGCCTCAATGTGGCGACGCAGTCCTCGTAAGGATCTTGTATACCAGTTTGAATATCATACCTGATATTCGAAAGCTTCATTACTCTCGGTATTAACCCTAAGGAACAAATATGTACATAAAATATTATTTATTACCCTAGGTATGATTTTGTCAGGTACTTGAGGGAGTTGCTGAGCTTGCTTGTTTTCATTAATGGAGGATATTTTGCTGTGTCCCTGCAGCCAAATTCATTGGATATGAACTTGAAAATTTAATGAACTTTTAAGTTTTAAGGTCGAAGTCCTAATGAAGTTGGGTTGTTGATAAATGGAAAGCTTCGCTCACACAGAAACTTGCCTGATCATTACGGTAGGGTACTCCATTTCTAGGCATTTAAGGTCATGATCCAGACCATGACCTACAAGGATCCTTGCTGTTCCACCTCTAGAGCGTATCTTCCATACAGGTTCCCCGTTGCATAAAAAATCTTGAATCTTCCTCTGGACTTGTCTTAATGGCATTGCATCCCTTAAGAATTCTGGACGTATTCCAGTCATATCGTACCTGAGTAAAATTTTCAAAATAAATGCAGTAAAGTATGACAATTAATTAGGAGAAATCGTTACAACTATGATTCTTTAGGACTCATAGTTATAGAATAAAACTCGGATGCACACAATCATCAACAAACCACATGCATAGATTAAACTCAGATATGTAAAACTTGGAAAATTCGATTTATGACGTGTTTACTCCTCATTTGGACCATTAAACTAACTCATACAGACTGACTTAAATCTTTATATCAATGTATGAGTACCTGTAATTGGTGACTGAAAGGGGAGGTTTGACATATGTATGGAAGATCATGTTTTCATATTCATCGGTGAGGCAAACCCTTGCACAAAGATCAAGGGAGCCATCACTGCCACCGCCAACCATTTTGCAAGCAAGTGCAACTACTTTTGCCCTATTATTATCAATCCTCAAGTCATCTTGAATTCCTAAGTTGGCCATGCGATAAAGAGCTCCCTGCAAATTGAAGAAAAATCACATTAGGTTAAGCTAAGCTCGATATAACAGAAATGTAAAGTACAGTAACATTCTCCATTGTCTCTCATAACTCCAATACTAGTCATATGGTTTTGATAATACACCAACACCCACTGTCAAGGTTTGCCCCCGATAGGATTGATGGAAACGGGTGTTATTTTTTCCCAATTATTCTTATAAATTATTCCCATTGTACATTAATTACTTGGACTACCTCAACTCCAACATCCATATCAGCAATCTTGTACATATACCTTCTATAGAGAAAATTTTAACACACTATATGACAGTGTCATGTATAGCTCATAAATTACATTTGTGACAGTATCTCATTGGGTGTGCCATGTGGTGTGTGAAACTCATTGAAATCTCGCCTTATCTCTCGCTTAAATAATTTTATTCTATTCTAGTGCACTCATATTATTTGTTGGCCTAATTTGGTAACGTAATTCCCTGTTGTTCTTCGATTGGCCGTTGATCCTAACCAAGTGGAACACAATTAATTCAAAAAAAATGATTAATTAAATTATATGAACAAAAATTTATGGACCTTTCTTTTCTCCTATGATATGTAAAATAAAAATTCTTCTTTTTAATGAATTCTACAACTAACACTTTTTTTTTTGTTTGAAAAAAGAATAAAGACAGGATACAAAGTTTTAACTTTCTTTTGGTATGTTTTCTCATTTTGAGGGTGGGGAGTTTTATTTTTTCCATCGAACTATTTGTTACAATTCCAATAATAAATAAAAAAAGCTTTTCTTTTTTCTCTTTATATCATATCCATTTTTTTTTAATTTCTTCTTGTTCTTTCAAAGTAGTAGAATGGGCCTTTTTCTAGAACGTCAAATGAAGGCAATGATTCTAAATGCACCCTCATAAATACACACCAAAAAAAAAAAAAAAAGAGGAGTGTTGGTGTAAAACTTGAAATTATAAGGGTGTTTCTTGAAAATCATTAGAAACCACAGGAGTTACTAATGTGATTTCCCTTATTAGAAGTTGTTTAGGAACTGTACAGTGCGTGAGAGTTGGCATGTCTCTCGGTGAACCCTTAGAGCATTGCTGCTACTAAGGATGGCCAAGCAGAGATCGCATCCTTTGTCTTTGAATATCCTCTCACATTCTGCCTTTGGCAAAGGACCTGGAGATAGTAACAGAAAAATGTTAAGAGTGTCTGAGAGCCAGAAAAAGAAAAAAGGCCATCGTTCTCATTAGGGTATTGAAATTTACCTATCAGATGCTCCCTCAGAGATTCAAACGATCGGCAATGTTTTCTGCAGATTCCACACATGGGCTCGTGAACTGAGTGATATGAGATCCTCATGTGCTCCACTAGATGCTCCATTTTGTTATACTGTTTGTAACACGCAGCACATTTGTTCCTGACCATAGAAAACATTAGTGTGACTAAAAATTCATGTATCATTTCATCCCTACTTATATCATTCATGCATGAGAGAGAGAGAGAGGGGTACTACCTTAGTGTATCTGAAGACTCCATTCTGTTGTCAAAAGAAACAAGATTGAACTCACAGATGATTTCAGAGGTAGACTAACTAAGAGGACTTGAGAAAGAAGGCAAGGCATATAGTGGTATTTATACTGGTTGGAGTGAACTAATTTCTTCCAACTTGACTATGAGAAATGATTCCTTAAGGCCTTCGTATTACATGAGTTTTGAAAAGATTAATATTAATGTGCAATGATACCCCCTGATCACTTAATTTTGCACTCAACTTTTATCTCTTCAATTGTGGTAATATTGTTGTCATCATCCTAAATCCTCACATAGAACATTCCTGGTAATCCAAACTCTAGGGGCCCACATTCGAACTCGAATATTTCTGTTGCAACCAAGTGCACAAACCCCCACATTTTCCTTTTGCTTCTCGAGAGGCTTCTGCAGTAAAGTTGTGGTTTCCAAGTTCCAACTATTCATCTCCCGAATGAGAAAGATATGCTTAAAGTTATCAGCTTGATAAGCACCTGGATCATTAACCCCGTATCCACACGAAGACCCTCACTTTTTGTTGTTCATTTGGCACAATGTATGTGAACTATAGAATTTACAGTAGCTTTGTAAATAAGCTAAACTAATGTATATATGCACCAATGAAATGACTAATTTTGGAAGCTTTCATATACAATACACAATTCCTCAATTGTTCTTTTTTCATAAGATAAAGGCTAAAGCAAAGGGTAGACTGACTTGACAAATGGTCAGAAAATGCATGTGAGAAGAGCTTAAAAAGTTTAAATCGTTCACTGTATGAGATTTAATTCTTCTATACTTTCGGCAAAAGCAATTGTGGCAGCGGATAAGGTTTTCAACCAAGGTAATAGTAGGTTTTATGGTTAGAATTTGGGCTCATATATAAATTGAATTTAAACTAACTCAAAAATATAAAATTAATCTCAGAATAGTGTTTCGAATTTTGTACATTAACCCTATTTATTTCCTTTTTCATACCGTTATGACCTTGTGGGAGAAAAAAATATGCAATCTCATACCAAATGGGAAAGAGTAAACATTGGTTTATGATGTAGAATAAAATTGGAGATTTCGGGCAAATGTGCTAAATGTGGTTCGAGCGGGCCGATTATTTTTTAATTTAACTGAATTAGATAATTTCTAGGAGATTTTTATTTATTTTATAATTTAATTAGGAAGTTATTTAATTTAATTTTTTTTATATCAATTAGAATTTGTTTCTTAATTTAACGAGGATTTTACTTTCCTACGTAATTTAGGGTTTCTACTATTATATAAATACATGTAGGCCTTAGGGCAAAATAATTTTTGATCAATAATATTACTGAGGAGACTTGTCTCTCTTTTTCTCAATTCGTTTGATATTTTTAGGAATCATCGGATCAACTAAAACCATTAAGATTGGCTTTTTTTGTGAATCAAGAGGCCTAAACTAAAATTATGAACTGATATTTATACACAAATTAACAAGTTCGGTCTCTTTATCCCTTTTGTTCGATCCAAGCTGTACATGTGCCCAAATCTTAGCATTTATCTCTTTGCTTCTCGTCACTGTGCTCAGATCACATTGTAACAATCTCTACCATAATTTCCTTTCCCACATCAAAAAAAAAAACACAGTTACAGAAATAGAGATAAGAGATCGATTGGTGGATGAAGGGTTTGACATTGGAAAAATGGAGAACATCAGCAAGATTGTCGTTTTGGGACTGAAGGGTCCATCAGATTCGTGCTTTGAAGATACCAAAGAGCAAAAAAAAAAAAAAAAAAAGATATACCTGAGATACTTTTCAATAATTCTGGTCCAGTGGTCACCACCATTGCATGGTTTGCCACTACCTCTTTTTGAATGTCAAACCAAAAGCTGTGGACTTAGGATCTCTATCTATAGTGGTGATGGCAACAAGCACACACTGGTCTTTTTTATGGTTAGGACGGGAATCTATTGTCTTTTTTAGATAAAAATTAATAGAAGAGACAAATAATCTAGTATTGAAAATTCGCTTCCTTTGCTGGTAAATATGACCCAAAGTCTCAAGCATTCATTTTTTTATGAACACACAAAGGAAAAAAAATAAAAATTGAAGCATCAAGCACTCGTTGGCATTAAAATATAGATTAATTTTTGTAGTTTGTCAAGGTCTAATTAACAACAATCAATCTAAAGACTATAGTGAATTAAGTCGGTAAATAAAATCAAATTTTTAGATGCAAATAACATTGCTCTTTCAGTTTACAAGCATGCCTATTGTAATGTTTCACATTGGTTAGGTTTGAGGTGTCATATAGGGTTAAGAGGTCATGCACGGCTCTCCTCATAACAACTTGTGAAAGGAAGGCAAACTCTGATACCATTTTGAATATCATATAGTCTAAAAACTTAATTTATTAGAGAGTGGTGTCACGTAGATGATTAATCTANAAAAATTGCAGCTACTTCCAGCTCTGGAAAATTGGAGTTGTTGAAGAGTTTGGGAGCAGATTTAGCCATTGATTACAATAAGGAGAACTTTGAAGATCTGCCAGAGAAATTCGATGTGGTATATGATGCCGTTGGTAAAATTCTGAACTTCTTGTCAAGTTCATGCTTGTAGTTGTATGTCGATTAATTGCAACTTCATACATGTAGTCAAATGCCATTAACATTTTACCTGTAGAGAGCACAGAAGTTTTATGCATTAAGAGTATGCCTCGTTTCTCTGATCGAGGGTGTTTCTCAGGCTGATACTTCTCTCAGAATGTGACAATAAGAAAAGCAAATACTTGCAGGGCAGTGCGATAAGGCGGTGAAGGCAGTGAAAGAAGGCGGAAGCGTGGTGGCAATAATCGGTGCAGTCACTCCACCTGCTTTCATATTTGTAGTTACATCAAATGGATCTGTCTTAGAGAAACTAAACCCTTTCTTGGAGAGTGGCAAGGTGAAGGCAGTGATAGACCCTAAAGGCCCATTCCCATTCTCTCAGACCATTGAAGCATTTTCTCATCTTCAGACTGGCAGAGCTATTGGTAAAGTGGTGATATATCCAATCCCACAAGAGACGAGAAGGAGAAGGGGCCGGAATCACTTAGTTATTAAGCAGTACTACTCCTTTTATTTGTATTACAAGGCCAAGATGTTATGTTAAAAAGTATCCCTTATTTATGTGACCCTATTCCTACCTGTTAAAAGACACTAGTGTGAGAGAATATGGAGATATAGATCTAAGACAGTTATTGATGTGTAGCTAGGCATGGCTGCAGGCCCTACCTTCTCTCTCCTACGTATAATTTGTAGCCAATAATTTTAAAAGATAAGCTTAAATTACACTTTCTAGCTGATTCGAACTTTGATCCGACTCGAGAAATGAGATTTTTATTTCTTATTAATTATTTAAAATAATTTTTATTCAGTTTTATGACTTGGTAATGATTAATAAAATGTTAAACCTGATATATATAGTTAATTACCTGCAATTTCATCCACAATTGCCAAAATATTATGATATAATATTTTTGCACTCAACAATTTAGTTATCATGTCTCCCAATGGTAAATGGAACTTCATATATGCTTGTGCGAGTGTCTTGTTATTGTGGGATATATTTAGGAAGTGGTGAAATTAGAGAAGGTCATTTAAAAGCGGAGATCAAGCCTTATGTTACATTAATGTAACAAGAAAACGTCTAGAGAGGCTTGAAATGTAGAAACAAGCTGTTTCTAGCTTATCGGGCATACCTTCAACCTACGGGGTTATATTATTGATATCTAGCTTACATAAAATACAGATAAGTAGATGCATTTTCTCTCACATAGTTCAAATATCTATCATCTAATGGAAAAGACATAATTTCCATATTTTATTTGCATTTCCTGACTCAGTTTAGGTTATGGAGCTCCATTGGTATATATATCTATAGGCCTTTTTCTTGGCAAATCATCATTCCCATTTAGGCACCATCTTTGCAGTCCAAGCACCAACAGTAGTAATCGGACCTTGAGATCTCCAGCATTTCATCTGGGGTCATCCTCTCCAGCTCACTTTGCCTCCATGACGCGAAATTGTTTCGGTTTTGTGGGTCAGTAGCGAGCGGATAGTTCTCCATTTTATGAACTTGGGATTTCATCCTTGTGTAAAGCCTCAATGTGGCGACGCAGTCCTCGTAAGGATCTTGTATACCAGTTTGAATATCATACCTGATATTCGAAAGCTTCATTACTCTCGGTATTAACCCTAAGGAACAAATATGTACATAAAATATTATTTATTACCCTAGGTATGATTTTGTCAGGTACTTGAGGGAGTTGCTGAGCTTGCTTGTTTTCATTAATGGAGGATATTTTGCTGTGTCCCTGCAGCCAAATTCATTGGATATGAACTTGAAAATTTAATGAACTTTTAAGTTTTAAGGTCGAAGTCCTAATGAAGTTGGGTTGTTGATAAATGGAAAGCTTCGCTCACACAGAAACTTGCCTGATCATTACGGTAGGGTACTCCATTTCTAGGCATTTAAGGTCATGATCCAGACCATGACCTACAAGGATCCTTGCTGTTCCACCTCTAGAGCGTATCTTCCATACAGGTTCCCCGTTGCATAAAAAATCTTGAATCTTCCTCTGGACTTGTCTTAATGGCATTGCATCCCTTAAGAATTCTGGACGTATTCCAGTCATATCGTACCTGAGTAAAATTTTCAAAATAAATGCAGTAAAGTATGACAATTAATTAGGAGAAATCGTTACAACTATGATTCTTTAGGACTCATAGTTATAGAATAAAACTCGGATGCACACAATCATCAACAAACCACATGCATAGATTAAACTCAGATATGTAAAACTTGGAAAATTCGATTTATGACGTGTTTACTCCTCATTTGGACCATTAAACTAACTCATACAGACTGACTTAAATCTTTATATCAATGTATGAGTACCTGTAATTGGTGACTGAAAGGGGAGGTTTGACATATGTATGGAAGATCATGTTTTCATATTCATCGGTGAGGCAAACCCTTGCACAAAGATCAAGGGAGCCATCACTGCCACCGCCAACCATTTTGCAAGCAAGTGCAACTACTTTTGCCCTATTATTATCAATCCTCAAGTCATCTTGAATTCCTAAGTTGGCCATGCGATAAAGAGCTCCCTGCAAATTGAAGAAAAATCACATTAGGTTAAGCTAAGCTCGATATAACAGAAATGTAAAGTACAGTAACATTCTCCATTGTCTCTCATAACTCCAATACTAGTCATATGGTTTTGATAATACACCAACACCCACTGTCAAGGTTTGCCCCCGATAGGATTGATGGAAACGGGTGTTATTTTTTCCCAATTATTCTTATAAATTATTCCCATTGTACATTAATTACTTGGACTACCTCAACTCCAACATCCATATCAGCAATCTTGTACATATACCTTCTATAGAGAAAATTTTAACACACTATATGACAGTGTCATGTATAGCTCATAAATTACATTTGTGACAGTATCTCATTGGGTGTGCCATGTGGTGTGTGAAACTCATTGAAATCTCGCCTTATCTCTCGCTTAAATAATTTTATTCTATTCTAGTGCACTCATATTATTTGTTGGCCTAATTTGGTAACGTAATTCCCTGTTGTTCTTCGATTGGCCGTTGATCCTAACCAAGTGGAACACAATTAATTCAAAAAAAATGATTAATTAAATTATATGAACAAAAATTTATGGACCTTTCTTTTCTCCTATGATATGTAAAATAAAAATTCTTCTTTTTAATGAATTCTACAACTAACACTTTTTTTTTTGTTTGAAAAAAGAATAAAGACAGGATACAAAGTTTTAACTTTCTTTTGGTATGTTTTCTCATTTTGAGGGTGGGGAGTTTTATTTTTTCCATCGAACTATTTGTTACAATTCCAATAATAAATAAAAAAAGCTTTTCTTTTTTCTCTTTATATCATATCCATTTTTTTTTAATTTCTTCTTGTTCTTTCAAAGTAGTAGAATGGGCCTTTTTCTAGAACGTCAAATGAAGGCAATGATTCTAAATGCACCCTCATAAATACACACCAAAAAAAAAAAAAAAAGAGGAGTGTTGGTGTAAAACTTGAAATTATAAGGGTGTTTCTTGAAAATCATTAGAAACCACAGGAGTTACTAATGTGATTTCCCTTATTAGAAGTTGTTTAGGAACTGTACAGTGCGTGAGAGTTGGCATGTCTCTCGGTGAACCCTTAGAGCATTGCTGCTACTAAGGATGGCCAAGCAGAGATCGCATCCTTTGTCTTTGAATATCCTCTCACATTCTGCCTTTGGCAAAGGACCTGGAGATAGTAACAGAAAAATGTTAAGAGTGTCTGAGAGCCAGAAAAAGAAAAAAGGCCATCGTTCTCATTAGGGTATTGAAATTTACCTATCAGATGCTCCCTCAGAGATTCAAACGATCGGCAATGTTTTCTGCAGATTCCACACATGGGCTCGTGAACTGAGTGATATGAGATCCTCATGTGCTCCACTAGATGCTCCATTTTGTTATACTGTTTGTAACACGCAGCACATTTGTTCCTGACCATAGAAAACATTAGTGTGACTAAAAATTCATGTATCATTTCATCCCTACTTATATCATTCATGCATGAGAGAGAGAGAGAGGGGTACTACCTTAGTGTATCTGAAGACTCCATTCTGTTGTCAAAAGAAACAAGATTGAACTCACAGATGATTTCAGAGGTAGACTAACTAAGAGGACTTGAGAAAGAAGGCAAGGCATATAGTGGTATTTATACTGGTTGGAGTGAACTAATTTCTTCCAACTTGACTATGAGAAATGATTCCTTAAGGCCTTCGTATTACATGAGTTTTGAAAAGATTAATATTAATGTGCAATGATACCCCCTGATCACTTAATTTTGCACTCAACTTTTATCTCTTCAATTGTGGTAATATTGTTGTCATCATCCTAAATCCTCACATAGAACATTCCTGGTAATCCAAACTCTAGGGGCCCACATTCGAACTCGAATATTTCTGTTGCAACCAAGTGCACAAACCCCCACATTTTCCTTTTGCTTCTCGAGAGGCTTCTGCAGTAAAGTTGTGGTTTCCAAGTTCCAACTATTCATCTCCCGAATGAGAAAGATATGCTTAAAGTTATCAGCTTGATAAGCACCTGGATCATTAACCCCGTATCCACACGAAGACCCTCACTTTTTGTTGTTCATTTGGCACAATGTATGTGAACTATAGAATTTACAGTAGCTTTGTAAATAAGCTAAACTAATGTATATATGCACCAATGAAATGACTAATTTTGGAAGCTTTCATATACAATACACAATTCCTCAATTGTTCTTTTTTCATAAGATAAAGGCTAAAGCAAAGGGTAGACTGACTTGACAAATGGTCAGAAAATGCATGTGAGAAGAGCTTAAAAAGTTTAAATCGTTCACTGTATGAGATTTAATTCTTCTATACTTTCGGCAAAAGCAATTGTGGCAGCGGATAAGGTTTTCAACCAAGGTAATAGTAGGTTTTATGGTTAGAATTTGGGCTCATATATAAATTGAATTTAAACTAACTCAAAAATATAAAATTAATCTCAGAATAGTGTTTCGAATTTTGTACATTAACCCTATTTATTTCCTTTTTCATACCGTTATGACCTTGTGGGAGAAAAAAATATGCAATCTCATACCAAATGGGAAAGAGTAAACATTGGTTTATGATGTAGAATAAAATTGGAGATTTCGGGCAAATGTGCTAAATGTGGTTCGAGCGGGCCGATTATTTTTTAATTTAACTGAATTAGATAATTTCTAGGAGATTTTTATTTATTTTATAATTTAATTAGGAAGTTATTTAATTTAATTTTTTTTATATCAATTAGAATTTGTTTCTTAATTTAACGAGGATTTTACTTTCCTACGTAATTTAGGGTTTCTACTATTATATAAATACATGTAGGCCTTAGGGCAAAATAATTTTTGATCAATAATATTACTGAGGAGACTTGTCTCTCTTTTTCTCAATTCGTTTGATATTTTTAGGAATCATCGGATCAACTAAAACCATTAAGATTGGCTTTTTTTGTGAATCAAGAGGCCTAAACTAAAATTATGAACTGATATTTATACACAAATTAACAAGTTCGGTCTCTTTATCCCTTTTGTTCGATCCAAGCTGTACATGTGCCCAAATCTTAGCATTTATCTCTTTGCTTCTCGTCACTGTGCTCAGATCACATTGTAACAATCTCTACCATAATTTCCTTTCCCACATCAAAAAAAAAAACACAGTTACAGAAATAGAGATAAGAGATCGATTGGTGGATGAAGGGTTTGACATTGGAAAAATGGAGAACATCAGCAAGATTGTCGTTTTGGGACTGAAGGGTCCATCAGATTCGTGCTTTGAAGATACCAAAGAGCAAAAAAAAAAAAAAAAAAAAGATATACCTGAGATACTTTTCAATAATTCTGGTCCAGTGGTCACCACCATTGCATGGTTTGCCACTACCTCTTTTTGAATGTCAAACCAAAAGCTGTGGACTTAGGATCTCTATCTATAGTGGTGATGGCAACAAGCACACACTGGTCTTTTTTATGGTTAGGACGGGAATCTATTGTCTTTTTTAGATAAAAATTAATAGAAGAGACAAATAATCTAGTATTGAAAATTCGCTTCCTTTGCTGGTAAATATGACCCAAAGTCTCAAGCATTCATTTTTTTATGAACACACAAAGGAAAAAAAATAAAAATTGAAGCATCAAGCACTCGTTGGCATTAAAATATAGATTAATTTTTGTAGTTTGTCAAGGTCTAATTAACAACAATCAATCTAAAGACTATAGTGAATTAAGTCGGTAAATAAAATCAAATTTTTAGATGCAAATAACATTGCTCTTTCAGTTTACAAGCATGCCTATTGTAATGTTTCACATTGGTTAGGTTTGAGGTGTCATATAGGGTTAAGAGGTCATGCACGGCTCTCCTCATAACAACTTGTGAAAGGAAGGCAAACTCTGATACCATTTTGAATATCATATAGTCTAAAAACTTAATTTATTAGAGAGTGGTGTCACGTAGATGATTAATCTATTACGTCCTCTCAAGTGTGGCAAAAATTGAATGGTCACTCATGAAAAAAAAAAAAATGGGTCACTCATAACTGAGTTGAAGGATTATATTTTTAATGTAATTTGAATTTACGATGGAAAGATAATTGCTAGAACTTAGAAGTCAGATGACTCTCATCTTTTTATTAATTACTCTGGATAGACATTACACTTTTACTTCGGGTTGCAACTTTCAAGGCTGTGACAGTATGCTGCAAAATTCACTCTGTAGATTTTCAAAACAAGCTATGCTCTGGGGTATGTGAAAATTGTATATTCATTTGACAAAAATGAATGTGTTATGTGGGTTTTACGTTTGTTTGGGGAATTTTTTTTTCTCAATAAGACAAAACAAGCCTATAAGAGTCTCTTCAATACAAATTGGAGTCTGTATACAATTATGTTTCTATGCATAGTATAAACAATAAGAAGAAACTAATAGAAGAGAGATAATAACACAAAAATTCCAGTTATCCAATCCTTTCCAAGTCTTCAATCCTCTATCGGATTAGCAAGCACATGGCCTTGGACACATTAGATTTGTGTGGAGGTGTGATGAATCAGGATTTCCAGTCTAGTATACATGAGTCTCAAATACTTGTAATTTGATGGAAATCACAAGTTTTATATAGATAATGATGGTGTAAACCGAATTGTATGAGTAATGAATCGTGATGGTGTAAACCGAATTGTATGAGTAATGAATTNGATAGACCCTAAAGGCCCATTCCCATTCTCTCAGACCATTGAAGCATTTTCTCATCTTCAGACTGGCAGAGCTATTGGTAAAGTGGTGATATATCCAATCCCACAAGAGACGAGAAGGAGAAGGGGCCGGAATCACTTAGTTATTAAGCAGTACTACTCCTTTTATTTGTATTACAAGGCCAAGATGTTATGTTAAAAAGTATCCCTTATTTATGTGACCCTATTCCTACCTGTTAAAAGACACTAGTGTGAGAGAATATGGAGATATAGATCTAAGACAGTTATTGATGTGTAGCTAGGCATGGCTGCAGGCCCTACCTTCTCTCTCCTACGTATAATTTGTAGCCAATAATTTTAAAAGATAAGCTTAAATTACACTTTCTAGCTGATTCGAACTTTGATCCGACTCGAGAAATGAGATTTTTATTTCTTATTAATTATTTAAAATAATTTTTATTCAGTTTTATGACTTGGTAATGATTAATAAAATGTTAAACCTGATATATATAGTTAATTACCTGCAATTTCATCCACAATTGCCAAAATATTATGATATAATATTTTTGCACTCAACAATTTAGTTATCATGTCTCCCAATGGTAAATGGAACTTCATATATGCTTGTGCGAGTGTCTTGTTATTGTGGGATATATTTAGGAAGTGGTGAAATTAGAGAAGGTCATTTAAAAGCGGAGATCAAGCCTTATGTTACATTAATGTAACAAGAAAACGTCTAGAGAGGCTTGAAATGTAGAAACAAGCTGTTTCTAGCTTATCGGGCATACCTTCAACCTACGGGGTTATATTATTGATATCTAGCTTACATAAAATACAGATAAGTAGATGCATTTTCTCTCACATAGTTCAAATATCTATCATCTAATGGAAAAGACATAATTTCCATATTTTATTTGCATTTCCTGACTCAGTTTAGGTTATGGAGCTCCATTGGTATATATATCTATAGGCCTTTTTCTTGGCAAATCATCATTCCCATTTAGGCACCATCTTTGCAGTCCAAGCACCAACAGTAGTAATCGGACCTTGAGATCTCCAGCATTTCATCTGGGGTCATCCTCTCCAGCTCACTTTGCCTCCATGACGCGAAATTGTTTCGGTTTTGTGGGTCAGTAGCGAGCGGATAGTTCTCCATTTTATGAACTTGGGATTTCATCCTTGTGTAAAGCCTCAATGTGGCGACGCAGTCCTCGTAAGGATCTTGTATACCAGTTTGAATATCATACCTGATATTCGAAAGCTTCATTACTCTCGGTATTAACCCTAAGGAACAAATATGTACATAAAATATTATTTATTACCCTAGGTATGATTTTGTCAGGTACTTGAGGGAGTTGCTGAGCTTGCTTGTTTTCATTAATGGAGGATATTTTGCTGTGTCCCTGCAGCCAAATTCATTGGATATGAACTTGAAAATTTAATGAACTTTTAAGTTTTAAGGTCGAAGTCCTAATGAAGTTGGGTTGTTGATAAATGGAAAGCTTCGCTCACACAGAAACTTGCCTGATCATTACGGTAGGGTACTCCATTTCTAGGCATTTAAGGTCATGATCCAGACCATGACCTACAAGGATCCTTGCTGTTCCACCTCTAGAGCGTATCTTCCATACAGGTTCCCCGTTGCATAAAAAATCTTGAATCTTCCTCTGGACTTGTCTTAATGGCATTGCATCCCTTAAGAATTCTGGACGTATTCCAGTCATATCGTACCTGAGTAAAATTTTCAAAATAAATGCAGTAAAGTATGACAATTAATTAGGAGAAATCGTTACAACTATGATTCTTTAGGACTCATAGTTATAGAATAAAACTCGGATGCACACAATCATCAACAAACCACATGCATAGATTAAACTCAGATATGTAAAACTTGGAAAATTCGATTTATGACGTGTTTACTCTTCATTTGGACCATTAAACTAACTCATACAGACTGACTTAAATCTTTATATCAATGTATGAGTACCTGTAATTGGTGACTGAAAGGGGAGGTTTGACATATGTATGGAACATCATGTTTTCATATTCATCGGTGAGGCAAACCCTTGCACAAAGATCAAGGGAGCCATCACTGCCACCGCCAACCATTTTGCAAGCAAGTGCAACTACTTTTGCCCTATTATTATCAATCCTCAAGTCATCTTGAATTCCTAAGTTGGCCATGCGATAAAGAGCTCCCTGCAAATT